ATAAAAATTATAGCCGTGGCAGGAGAATGATTAATTCTTTATATTGAAAAATGAATGAACGTAATTTTATGGAGTACATAAAAAAAAAAAAAAAAACTATCGAAATGTTTATTGGAAAACTTTTTTTTTGTTTTTTTCATTTAAATTTTCCAATTTTTATTATTATTATTATTATCATTATCATTATTATTTATTTTTTTTTGTAAATAAAAATTAAAAACTTAATAATTAACCATGAACGGAGAGGAAAATTTATAACGGTTGTTTTGAACAATTTTCTCTCTCTCTCTTTTGCCTTAAACCTTTTGTATTTCTAAACGTTTTAAATATATTTCCTGTTATTCAAAACCTTACAGCCTTTTTGATCCTTTTTAAAAAAATTTTATTTTCAAAATGCAGGAGTCTCCCCCCTCCCGTTTTTTTCCTTCTCGTCTTGTGCTACGGAAAAGGGGGGCGGGGAAAAATGACGTACGCGTTTTATGATGAGTTAATTTAATTTTAACCTTTACACGTTTTTTTTTTTTTAATACGTCAAACGTCGAAAAATCAAATTAATAATAATAATAATAATAATTTTTATCCCTATGCTTTTTTTTATTAAATTAAAATCCTAACAATAATAATAATAATAATAATAATAATTAATTAACGATTAAATAAAATAAATAATAATGAATTGGACACGCGAAAAAAAAAAAGAAAATTATTTAATCAGCCACATTTTGTTTTTATCATCAATTATTTAAAACAAAAACCGAAATAAAAATTAAAAAAAAACTTATTTAAATAATTACTTTTTCATCTTTTATAATTTTAATTAAACAAAAAAAAATTCTCACGCACTCATTGTTTAAACAAAAAAAAAAAATAATAACAAAAAAAAAAACAAAAACAATATATAAAACCGAACGAACGAACGACGAAGACGAAGACGACGACGTGTAAGCAACAACCGGGACAACAAAAACAAAAAAAAAAAGAATAACCAACCAGAAAATAAAAAAAAAAAATCAAAGGAAATAAACCGTGAACGATATCAAAAAAAAAAAAAAGTAAAATTTCACCGACCGCAAAATGAAATTATATTAATAGTAGCAAAAAAAAAAAAAGTTAAAAATTTATTCACAGACAACTTCTTAACAACGACACCATTTATTTAACCGCAAATAAAATAAAAAAAAATTTAACTTAAATGAAAACGAATATAAACACACACACATACACACACGCGACATAAACTTCATCGATAAAATGACGTGGCTTTAGTTAAAAACATTGCAAACAACTAAACATAAAAAAAAAAATTTTCTTCTTATTAGGTTTCGTTTTTTTTTTTTATCTATTTAATTGGATAATTCACGTTAATGATGCTGCATCTTTTGCCACTTATTTTTATTTTCCCCCACCCCTTTCCTCTCTCCTCCCCTACTCCCTCCCCATCACAATTATTCATCTCTAGCAAACGTTTTCTAATAATAATAATATTTATTGCCCCGATATCTATAAACACGTTTTTTTTTTAACGTGTTATTATTAAACTTTTATAAAAATTATTATTTAACAAGTAAATTTTCTTCTTATTTTTTTTTTTTATTACATTGTTATCATCATCACCAGGTACATTATTTATCGAATTAATGATAATAATGATCGTCGATGATGATGATAATAATAATAATAATAAATAAGCCGAAACGGCAGCGTAACGGGAAAAAATTCTTTGAAAAAAAAAAAAAAAACAACATGGCACCGCATTCGAATAAAACAAGAGTTTAACAAAAAAATTTGCAGATGAACGTGGAGAAGAGGAGAAAGAGAGAGAGAGAGAAAGAGAGAGAAAAATAATTTTCCAGTCATCGTTGAAAAAAGTAAAAACCTCACCTAAATCTCTCTTTTGGGTAAATTTTAAAAAGGAAAAAGGTTTTTTTTTTTTAAAAAAAAATTTAAAAATAAAAAATGGTTGGAGCAAATCGGATTACGTGGAAAGCAGGCCCCCTCCTCCCCCTCCTCTTCCACCATTTTCGGTTAAATCTCGTGAAAAACCAAAACAGAAATTTAAATAATCATTACTCTGGTAGAAGAAAAATGAGATGAGACGAAATGGATTCAAAAGTGGTATTCGTAATAAAAAAAAAAAAAAACAAAAACAAAAACAAAATGGTGGTAACGAGGCCGTTAAATATTCCAGGAGGAAAAAACGAAAAAAAAGAAAATGGCGGGAATTTTGAAATTTTAAAATACGTCATTAAATCTCGTTAATAACGCATTTCGTGATTTATTTCTATCACAAAAAAAAATATTAAAATGCGCGTTTTTTTTTTACTAAAAAAAGTAAAAATCATTTATGCGATAAAACAATAATAATGATAATAATAATAATAGTGCTAATAATGATAAAATTTATTTTGACGTCGTCATGAACATCTGACATTTTTTATAAATAAAAGAAAAAAAAAAGAAAGCGTTTAAATTTAAAAAAAAAAAAATTCAAGTGAAATCCGATACAAATATAAATATATATAACTATTAATCTAAAAACCTCTTTTTAATATCACCTTCAACTTAATAATATCATCATTTATTTAAAAAAAAAAAAACGTGGAAGAAGAAAAAAAAAATTATAATAATTTTCGACACGATTTTTTTTTTAATTTCTTTAATTTTTCACTCGAAAATAAATTTTAAATTCAAATCGAAACACGTCGTTTAATACCAAAAAAAAAAAAAAAAGGATTCGAATCAAAGGAATTTTATTTTCCTTTTAAAAAATTAAACAAAATGAAAAAGGCGCGCTTTTCAAAAAAAAATTGTTATGACGTCACGACGATAAATATACATATAAAATTTATTATTCAAAAAAGTTAATTTTTCTGTTTTTTTTCCTTAATTAAATTTTAATTTCATTTAAATTATTTTGCCATTTTTAATTTTTTTTTTTTCCTTTTTCCCTTTCCCCTTTTTCTCTCTCTCTCCCCCTGCCCCCATCCCTCTTTTTCCACGAGAAATAATCATTTAAATTAATTCCATCAATCAAAAAAAATAAAAAGTAAAAAATATTTCGCGGAATAAAATAATTAAAAATAAATTTTTTATTTCCTCCTCCCCCCTTCCTTCCTTCCCCTCACCTCCCCGTTTTTCTCATCATCATTTGAAAAACAAATTATTAAATGATAATAATAATAATAATAATGATAATTAATATTGATTTAAAAATAAAAATGGAAAGAAAATTCGTTTGTATATTTTTATTTATAATTGAGAAATAAACGATGACAACATTGTCTGGAATAAAGAATTCCAGACAATGTTGGGAATTTTTTCTGAATAAACTGGACAAAGGAAATTTTAGTATTTGTTATACTTAAAAATACGAACGAATTGTTATCGTTATTATTATTATTATTATAAATTTTTTACGATGAAATATAAAAAAATAATTTTTTTTTGATTTATTTAACGGTTCATGGAATGTTTTTTTTTTCAGGTCCATTTAAACTCAGATATTATTTATTAATTAATAAATAAAAATCAATTTACTATTTATTAATAACTCCGTAAAACAGAAAAAAAAAATTTTTTATCGTTACGTTTATTGATTTGAATTGATTCGAAAACAATTTTTTTTATGTTTATGTTTATTTTTTTAAAACTTTATGATCCGAATCGAAATAAACATAAAATAAATAAAAAATTTAAAAAGTGAAATTTTTTTTTCTTTTACTGAATTTCCAGGATAAATTTCTAAAGAAAAATTAAAAAACCAAGAAAACGATTAAAAAAAAAAACCCACGTTTAAAATTTTTCTCCTTTCCCCTCCTCCTCCCCGCCTCCCCCTTTTCCCACCACCAACAACAAAATCATTAATAAAAACACACAAACGATGATTTATTATAATTACAATTGATAAATAATAACTTGTTATCATTATTATTATCATTATTATTATTTTCCGATAATCGACCATTAGAAAAGTAAAAATAGTTTTTTCCAAAGAAAGAGAAATTGTTTGTATAGGTTTGTTTGTTTTGTGGTCAATTCTTTTATTTAACAATTTATTTAACGGCCAAAGTGAAAACAAACAAACAAACAAAAACAAAAATTTTTTGAAAGTGAAAAAAAATAATGATTTTAATAATAATAATAATATTAATCGATGGCATCTGTTTTGTTTTTTTTTTTTTTTAATGTAAAACATACGGACATGACATACGAATAATAGAAAGTCAATAATAATAATAATAATAATAATAATTTAACACTTATTAAATTTATTAACTGTGTAATTTATCGTAATTATTTGTTATTATTATTATTATTATTATCATCATTATAAATAATTTCATAAAAGCGTCATGAATGTTTTTTTTATATTATTTAGAAAACCCATTAAAAATTTCTATTAATAATAATAATAATAATTTTTATTATTATTATTAAATAGAAATTAAAAACCACAATAAATAAATTATCGATTTCGATTTATAAATTTTTATCATTATTATTATTATTATTATTAATGCTATTTATATAATTTATCCGTGGCAAAAAAGAAGATTTCCCCTTTTTTAAAAGTATGGAGGGGAAAATTTATATTAGTTATCCAGGAGGCAGCGTTCAAAAATAAAAAAATAAATAAAAAGTTTTAATTAAAAATTTTTTGTTTTTGGAAATTTTTAAATGAAAAATTTTCCTTCATCCCCACTCCCCTCATTTTTTTTTTGTTCATTTCCCTTTTTTTGCTGCGGTTCATTTCTTTTGTTCGTATTAAAAAAATGGGAAAATTATTTCAAAATGGCGGATTTCATTTAAAAATGCGTGGGGATTTTAATTTGGACAACCGAAAACTTTTTATAACAAAAAAAAAAAGAAAAAAAAAAAAAAGAAAAACTTACCGAATTTTGTGCCGATATCATTTCTTCTCTTGATAACGGTTCGACTAATTCGCACGGGAAATTTCCTCGTCGGTCACCGGAAGCACCATAAAGCCAACCTTTTTCCACATAATGTTCAGGTGATAAAATTTTAATTATGTCACCTTTTCGAAAATTCAAAACTGACGGATCTCTATTCGATGTGTGATCGGCAACGCTTCGGACAAATTCAACGGCTCCCTAATTAATTAACAAAAAAGAAAAATTTTTTTTTAAAAAAACGATTACAAAACCATAAGCTAACAATATGCGTAAAGAAAACAACGTACCTTTTCTACTTCCACGATGTATTTTTGTATCATGGATCGTATTTGAGGAGCTCTTTGAGTATATAAAACCAATCGGCCACCTGTTCTCAATATTATTTCAATAGCACTATTTTTAGGTACTGATGTTTCTATGACGTCATCAAATTGTACGGATTCTATTATTTGTAGGTGATCTTGCGGGACTCCTTTTTCTTTACGAATCAACCTTATACCCGAATGCGAAATACCTAAATATTGTACAGTCCTATGTGTTTGCCCACCCGATACCGGATACAATCTACAAAAATATGTTTCCCATTCTTTGGCTAATTCCACTATGTTTTTCTTAATCGTTTGTTTGTGATTTTGCGACGAAACGTTATTTATTGTTATTCCGTAACCATCCAAAAGCTATTTTACAAAAAAAAAAAGAAAGAAATACAACGTGAAATATAAATAATGATGACGTCATAATAATTATAATAATATTTGCACAACCTTTTTCATGTCCGCTCGTTGATCCCTCGTGATTCTTATACAATTTGATCCCAAAACATCTTTGACTATTTGACAAAAAACTAAATGAACGGCGAGGGGATTTGTTAGTTTTTCACTTGGGGAAAAAACTTCTTTTCTAACAAGCAATTTCCACGGGATTCTGTTGTAGGTGAAAAAAGCAGCTGTCGATGGTGGAAATAATTTCGTTTCGGCAACTTCGTAATGTCTTTGAATTGACGTGGGAGGAGCTATGTCCATGGGTTTTAAAAATTCCGATGATTCTTCGACTAAAATCGACATGAAAAAAAAAATTCATTCATTCATTCATTCCTAATTTAACAAAAAGAAAATTTTTTTTTTATGACTTAAGGTTTTCTTTTTTTGAAGAAGAGGATTATTGAAAAGGATTAGCGGATTAGCAGATATGATTGGTCTTACTTTCTATTCTGTCAATATGTTCAGAAATGTTTGATTGTCTGTCGAGTTCAACTTTTCTTTTAAATAAACTTTCTCTACTCCTTGTTAAATCGGGATTCGTTAAATCTTCTCTGTTTCTTAAATTGTTATAATTTTCTTTTTTGTGATCTTCGAACATATCATCTCTTCTTCCGTTCGTCCTTCCGTTATAATCTTGATGACCGTAAGATTCTTTTGTATTGATACCGAATAAATCCGAATTTCCGTTAAAATTATTTCTTTTAACCGGTTGTATGGGAGGAGGAGGTGAACGTGGCCTTGCCGTCGGATTGATGCTGAAATAAATTCATTCATTTTTTTTTAAGCCTATACAAAATGTTTAAAAAATTTTTTTTATTTATAAAAATTACCTGGAAGAATAAATACTACTGGATCGACTAGGAGGTTGTGGTTTTTTCTGTTGTCCATCCATGTGATGTGGAGCAACCGGTGCCGGAGGTGGATTCGGTCTCCATTGCGTGTTTTGATTCGATGGTATACCAGTCGGTGATGTTTTTTCCATTCTTTCAACTTGCGATCTTACTATGTTTGTGGGTTGTAAATCCACTCGTTCTTCTTTAGTCACGACTCTTGCAATTTGATCGACGGAATCTACGCTTCCCCAACGACCGGCTAAACCAGGTTTATTAACGTTAATTAAAAAATTTTTTTTTTGAATTTAAAAACATGAAATACTAACCTAATTGTTGTTCCAATAATAATCTACGATTATCTTCTAATTTTCTTGGTACGTTCATATTAGAAACTTGAGAAAGAGAAGGTTTTTCAGGTTTGGCAGTTGATCTTACGCTGTGAGTTGAAGTAACCATTTCTAATTTGTGTCGCATTTCCGAACTTATTCTGAGTTTTCCAATACTACCGGGTGATGGTCTTTGAGCACCAAGTTCAAACGATCTAAAAATAAATAAAATGTAATAACGATTTTGCATTCGGACACGTGGACAAACACGCGTTAAACAACTCACTTCATGGAACTTTTATGTTCTTTAGATTCTCTACGAGTTGAAACAGATGATTTTCTGCTACTTTGTTCCGTTTTATCAGTGATGCTCATTTCAAATTCTTCCCATTCAATAATTTCCGTTCGGTCTTCGTTTGAATCCTAACACAACAAACAACAAACTTTAAATATATTTTTAATTTTTAGGTATTTTAATAATAAAAAAAAATTATTTTTTTTAGGGACGAGCATATAATATAAATAAGGATAAGTATTTAAATTAACCGGATATTAATTTTTTTTCGGGATTTAAACAAAAAAAAAATACCTGAATGCGTGTATTGTATTAATTTGTACCTGGGAAGATTGTTTTTGCGGCGTCGTTTTACGTTGCTGACGTAATTTAAATTGTAAAAAGCTATCGGAACCTTCTTGACTACCATCTTGAGGTGGTGGCCATCTCCATTTTCCTATTCTAACCGTTTTTGCACGACCGTAAGGGTCAATAAATGGACGATTATGGGGATCTACGGCATCGGGTGGTGGCGGTAATGGTGGTGGTGCTGGAATTCCATAATTCTGTAAAAATATTATTGACGAATGAGAGTTGAAAGAACTTTCAAATGAATTTTATTAATTTTTTTTAAAAAAAATAACGAACCATTTGCAAAGGTGATTGTTCGCGATGGATTTGAGCAGTTATGGTGGATTGAACGGGTGTCGCATTAAATCCTCTTGAAATTTTCGATGATGATAATGATGGATTTTGTTCATCTTTATTTTCTCTTTTCCAAAAATCAGAATTTTCCGTACCAAATGAAACCTGTTTAAAAAATGATGTTTATTAAAAAAAAAAAAATTTAATTATATTTTGAAAATAACTTTTTCTAAAAAAAATAAATAATAATTTAATTTGTTTTTATTTTCTTACTTTTTTTTGAAAAGGTTAATTAATGACTACCCTTTTACCCCCCCCCCCCTCCTCCTCCTTTTTTTTTAATTAAAGCCCTTATTTAATTTTTTTTTTTTTTTTTAAAAAAAGGAAAAGAAAAAAAAATCAGACAGAAATGAATAGGATATTTTTTATTAATAAACTTACCGGAGTTTGTTGTTGACTTTTTATCGGAGCCCCTGTTGGTTGTTGTTGTTGTAAAAGTTGTTGCAATGCTTGATTTTGTGCAAATAATTGTTGTTGTATTTGAATATTTTGTGCCATTGCACTTTGTAAGAATGCTCTTTGAAGATTTTGCTGATAAGCTAATAAATTTGTATCCATTTGTTGATTTGGATGGTTTAAACCTGAAAGTTTTGAAAAAAAAAAAATTTAATTAAAATTTTCCCCCCATTTTTTTTTGTGTGTGTTATTGGTAGCGAATGATAAAAACCAAGCGACATTATTAATGGTTAGTCGATATGAAAGCTGGAAAAGAAAATGTTAATGATTTTTTTTGTTTGTCTTTCTGAGAAAAAAGAAAGCTCATTTAACTTACCTTGTATGTTATAAATAGGTATAGAATGTAACATGGCGGACTGCATCATTGCATCCGGACTAGCAGGATAAAAATTGGCGGTGGACATGGTTTGAGCGGCACCCGTCACACCACCCGGACCCATAAATGAAAGACTAGCTGAGGATTGAGCTTTATAATGATAAATTAACAAAAAAGTTAAGAGAAATGAAAGAAGCCCGAGCAAAGATGATAACTACTTTTTTAATATTTTTTTTTGACTTTACCTGTCGGAGAAAACAATGGCATCATCATGGGCGGAGGAGACATCATTCCAGGTATAACATTTGTCGGTGAAGTCATATTCGTTATTGGAGTGAATCCAGGTTGAGTACCACTTTTATCTTGGACTCCTCTTCCTCCTCCTTTGATTTTTTGAGCCAATGTCGATGCATTAGCTAATTTATTAACGGAATCGTTAACAAATATCGGTTGAAATAAGTTAGTGATGTAATCGTCAACATTTTCTACGTTCGGTCTAGACCTGTACGGTTGACTACAGAAAATATAAAATTAAAAAACATGTTTACAAACAACAAAAGAAAAAATAAAAAAAATTCCTGTAATTTACCCGACGGAAATTTGAGCCGAACTAGTAAAAGAAGCAACTTCATTATCGTCACGATCATCATCATCATCATTTTCTACAATTTTTTTACTGCCGCCGCCTTTGATACTCGCTGCCAAACTTCTTGCATCGCTTAATTCATCTAAATTTCCATCTAAAACTGGCATAAATAAATCGTCTAAAAATTGATCCACGTCCGAAGCCTGTGATGGCACTCTAACTCTTCTGACATGGGATGCCAATGATGGAGCTTCGCTGGTATCGCTAAGAGCTGAAGACTTTGCTGCGTAATCAGATTTTTCTATGTAGGCTCTGCTGGAATGACTTCCTGGAGCAGCTCTTTTACCAGCGTATTGTGATTTTATAAACCTGAAATTAATTTTATTTTTTGTTGTTGTTGCTGTTGAAAATTTCAATAAAAAAACATTTAAAAAATCCTAAGAACTATTGAAATTACCTTGGATGACCTCTAATGTAACTTCCCTTATCATCTTCACTCCTTGCCGCTATATCTTGATAATCATAATCTAAATTAACATTACTTAATGGTGCAATGACGTCGGATTGATTATCGTTTAATCCGTCGGTTGATCCATTTAATTCTATAGCTCTATGACTTTCTCCTCTCTGACTAACAGATTCTAAATTTTCTTCTAATAATATTTCAGATTTTGACATGTATTCTTGATTGGTTACCGCTCTACCTTCGATGATTGAATTATTTGATGGAATTTTATCGACCGAATGATAACGATCGTTAAGCCTACTTCTTGATAATCCCAAATTATCTAATTTATAGGGCATGGCCACTTCCTAAACAAACATAATTACAAAAAAATTAAAGTTTTTTTTTTTTTAAATAAATTTATTTAAATTTGATTGATTATCTTACAGGGTCTAATAGATTATCCAAACTTCTGCTTCTACCATCTTCGAAATATCTATCATTAAGAGCAGATTTCCTTGATAAACCACTTTCGACGGTGTGGTCTTTAGATTGGGATCGAATTCTATTAATTGGTTTTCTCGGTGTGTTAACAGTTTCTTCTAATAGTTCTCGTGATTGTTTCCTGACTGGAGGTTGTGGTGGAGGATTAATGGGTCTGCGAGGGGCTATCAAGGGTACTTCTATATCGTCATTCATTGGAGACTAAAAAAACAAAAAAAAAAAAAAGGATTTACAAACAACAAAAATGGAAGTTTCTTTCTTTTTTTTCTTTTTTTTTTAAATTTAGAGCGTGCAGTTTCTATGGCGATGTGTGTGTGTGTGTGTGTGTGTGAGCTTTACACGTTCGAGAGAAAACGAAAGAATTTTTATTTTATTTTTTATATTACGTTCGCAGATAAAAATTTTATTCTTTTTTTTTTTATTTGGTTAATTATAAAAAAAAATTTTTTTTTTATTTTACCTTGGGTGCGATTCTATCGTGACCCATTAATAACGAATTTTTACTGACTGGAAAAGCTGGAGCTATTTCCATTTCGCTAATTAAATCCATAACGTAATCACAACCCATGGATTCTCTAATCAGTTCATCATCTTCACCGGCAAGAACCACAGACCATCCGTTACATTCTTGTATACCTTTAATAATAATAATAACAATTCTATCATAACGATTCTTTATCCTTTCTCCCTCTCCCTCTCACTCATTTTGATTAATTACCTCTGTTTCGTATTGCAAAACCTGCCAAATCTTCTCCCGTTGACCATGAATCAACTTCAACCGTTGCCGATTCATCATCGGAAAAATAAAGTGGCAATGCCATGTTGACACGTTTTCTATTACTTCTCCATTCCAAAACGTTTGGAGGATAACATCTTGCCAATGGTAATTCCAACGATTGAATTTGTAACAGTTTTCGTTGGCACAAAGCTTTGTATCCGTCGTAAGCATGATCGGACACGTACCTGTTTTCAACACAATCGTACAAAAATTAATAACTACGTAAATATTATCTATTTGAAAAAAAAATAAATAAATAAAACTAACTTTAATAAATATTTTTGAAGTGTGTGCGAAGGAGGGAAAACGGATAAACAATTGGCCATTAATAACCACCCTCGTTCATTGTTTGCATCGTTGGTATTATTCCAAGTTTGATTACAAAGTTGGCATAAAATTTCATCTCTCAATTTGTCGTTTGATAAACCCTTAAAAAAAAATTAAAAAAAAAAAAAAAAAAATTACGAAATCAATCGGAATTGAATAATTTGTGAGAAAAAAAAATAAACAGGGATGCCAACCTTATTAACAATATAATCTCCTAAAACGGTTTCTTTTTTACCATTAAGATTATTATCGTTCATGAACCTTAATATGAGTTTAAACAAAGCCAAAGAATCTTGATAATCCATGTCTTTTGCTTTAGCTAAAAATGGAGTTTTTATCGGTTCTCTTTTCATTCCCCAAACGTGAGATTTAAAATATATATTTGTAAATTTTGTAAACGCATGATGATCTATATCCTGAGGCAAATGATGATGTTTTTTAGGTCCAGACGAAGCAACAGTACCGACAACTTTAACCAAATTTCTTTCCGTGTGCGTTTGTTCCCAATCTGATCATATAAACAAAAAAAAATTTATCATGTATAAAAACGTGGAATGAATGAATGAATGAATGAATGAATGAATGATCGCGTTCGGGATAAAAGAGGAAAAAAATTTTTATTTTTTTTTATTTAGAAAATGCGTGGATGAAGAAGGAAATGAAAAACGAAGTGGGAGGGGGGGAAAGGGAAAAGGATGTTGAAGTTTTAAATACGTAAATAAATAATGTGATTTTACATGGATTTAATTACGTTTTTTTTTTTTTTTTTTTTTTTTTTTCCTTTTAAATGTATATAAATATATACTTTGTGACGTCATTATAAATTTTCATTCATTTCAATTACCTGGAAACGTTTTTAATTTAAAAAAGAAAGAAAGAGAGAGAGAGAGAAAGAGAGAAAATTTTTCTTTTTTCCTTATTATTTTTCTTATAAATATCAAGTTTAATAATTTTTTTTTTTTTATGTTTCATTTTCAATTTGGTGAAATTGTTAAAAAGAAATAAAAAAGAAAATATTGAAAGGATTATGATTATAAATTATTATTACTATTATTATTATTATTAATAATTTTCGTATAAAAAGTCAATTATTTGAAAAAGAATAATTTAAAAAAAAAAATTAAAAATTTATTGAAAACTTTTAAAAAAAATTTTTATTTATATTTAAGAAAAAGAAAAGAAAGAAAGAAAGAAAAATTTTCGTTTAAAATGTTTAAAACGATTTTGAAAAACCTGGAGAACGAAAAAGAAATTTCTGGGGAAGAAGGAAAAAAAGAATTTTTAATTTTACTCACCATCTAATTTACTGAAAATAAAAGCAAGTTCGGCTGGAATTTCCAAATGATTAACTCCAGCCACGGCTCTGGACGCTCTTTCTTGTTCTTCTTTTTGTGCTTTTACTTTTGCACGATCTCTTGCCGCTTTTTCAGCAGCTGCCCTCCTTTTAAGTTCGGCACTCAATTCCAAATAACGTTTCCTCTGTCTTTTACCTCTGAATTTTGCTTGCGCTGCTATTATTCCTCTTCTTATTATTTTATATTTTTTCCTTTCTCTCCAACCTCTCACCGCAGACTGTTCAAAATATATACCGTTTAAAAATATTAAAAAAAAAGAAAATGTCGCATTTGCACCGTTAACAATAATAATAATTATACCTGAAGTTTAATAGTGCTCTTTTTTATGTTATGATATTTTCTTCTTGCCAAATATCCCCTAACATTTGTCTGTAGCGTCAATGCGGCTTTGTGAAGTATTTCGCTTCTTTCTTTTTCAAATTCTCTTTCTAAATTTTCTCTTAAAAACACTCTCGTCGTACCCAATTGATAATCATTCGAATTACATTCTTTTATTTCAAATATAAATCGACATAATTCCCTTTAAAAAAAAAAAAATAATAATAGTAACAATTCAGATCGAATTTAAAATTTTTTTAAATCATTCGCCATTTTTTGCTACCTGTAAGGTGTTCCTTTAGCAACGGTCGATCCACGATCGGGTAAAAAGTAACGATATCTATCGTAAAATTGTGAAAATTTTAATCTTATCGGATATCCGGTTTTTCTTATTCTTATTGTTTCGAGCATTCCGGTATAACGAAGTTGTTCTATAACTATGGGCATATCAAATTTCATGGGTGCTTTATCATTGTTTGGTTTTATGCAACGGACAAACCAAGGATTACATCTAAAAAAAAAATTTTTTTTTTAAAACCGAGGGAAAACCTCCACCCGTTTGTTTTAAACGTTTTTTTCGTTGGTAGAATGCTACGTACTGATCCATCAAAGTTAATAATTGTTGTAGTGAATCGTGAAATCTGGCAGCGATCGTCGGAGTTCTTGGTTTCATTGTAACAAAACGTCCATTTGCTTTATTTATAGTCTTGGTACTCTCGTAAACGTTTCTATAATTTTCAAACATCGTACTTATCAATTTTATTTTACTCGATATCAATAATTCTACAACGTCTGATCTAAGAGTATCACGATTTTTATCAAGGAAACCATCGACATTATACCAAACTTGTCCTGCATAATGTTTAAGACCAAATTCCGAACTCGACATTCTGAAAAATTTATATAAATATGAAAATTTCAAATTATAAACAAAGAGATAGAAAGAGAGAGATAGAGAGAGAGAGAGAAAGAGAAAAGAGGTACCTCGGTCTTGAATACAATTCATCTAATGCATGATTATAATGACATTTTTCAAGAAAGCTCACATCCGTGGCTTTAGGAAAATTGCTTTCGTCATCGAGTAAATGTAAAATGCCGACGGGTTTTTTAGCAATCAAATTGATTATTGGTACGTTATCGACGTAATTAATCGTTTGCCATTGAATTTTTTCCTTTGCGTATTCCATTTGTTCCAATTTAAATATATGTTTATTAAAATAAAATTGTAAATTTTCATTAGCATAATTTATGCACAATTGTTCGAAACTATTTTCCTGCAATGAAGACAAGAAAAATAATAATGAGGGGAAAATTTTAATCATTCGATCGGATCGACGTTTTTGAAAAAATAATTAAATTAATAATAATAATAATTAAATTCACACCTGAAAATCTTCAAAACCGAAAATATCTAATATTGAAATGGCGGCCGTTCTTTTAGTTCCTTTATAAACAATTTGATTTATTCTAGCCACGAGCCATGAAAAAAGAGTATGGTATAAAGCTTTTGCAAATGCGTCTCGAGCATCTAAAGATTGATCGATTGTCAATGGAGTTTGTACTCTTTCTCCTCTTGCCTCTGTTGTTTTTGTCATTAAAGCATCCTTAATACCCTCGGTATTTAATTTCAAAAGATGTGCCGTCCATTTTATTTCAGCATCCGACCCTATTTCCACACCCTCCTGACCGTGACGAAGTTGTTTTCTATGAAAATAAACGTTACCTACAAAGTAAAAGGGGGGGGAAAGGAAAAACAAAACAAATTAATTTTATTTTCTAACGTTTTGGTTTATAAAACCTTAAAAATTTTCTTTAAACCTTCTCTCTCGTATTATTTAAATAAAAATGGCGGTAAATTAAATTTTCACAAATCAATATTTCCACAAATTTTTTTAAAAAATAAAATTCAAATTGAAAGATTCGAGGTATACGAATTTAAAAATAAAAGCAGAATAAATTACGTTTCGGTATTTCGATCATGCGGTTAAAAATAAATGAATTTAAAATAATAATAATGATAATAAATGCAATTTTATAACGTGTGAATGAATCGAAAGGGGGAAAAAAAAGAAAAAAAGAAAGAAAGAACAAAAAAAAAATGAATACGCAACAACAACACAAACCGATTCGACTACGAACAAAAATTAAATTGTTTGATATCCGGAGGTCAATGAACTCTAATAAAAAAAAAGAAGAGCATATATTTATTTACCCAAGTGCAAAACAGATGCTAATATTCTGAAAATGGTATCTTGTTCTTCGTTGGTAAATCCGAGGACTTGCATTGCCGACAGCAAACTTTGAAAATCATCTCTGTCGTTTTTACCATCAATTTCGCAATTTCCACCTTGATTTAAATAAAAATATTTTTCCGGAGTTAAAAGTCCGTAGGATTGTCTTTGGGATTCCGGTAAACCCAATAGCATTTCGTAAAAAACGTGATAATTCCTTTCTTCGGTGGCTTGAGTGACTATTCTAGATTTTTCCAAAAGGTATTCCGTTACTTTAGCTCCGATAATAACGCCCCTAAAACATATTTTTTTTTGTTATATCATTATCACGTCATTAACGACGTCTAACGTCTAATAATAATAATAATAGTTTACTTGTTGAAATGAACTTCTAGATATTTTCCAAATCTTGAACTGTTGTCGTTTCGTACGGTTTTAGCATTACCGAAACTTTCCAACAATGGCGAAGCTTCGAGTATTTGTTCAGTCACCAAATTGCTTGGAGATTTATTAACAGCCGCTAAATACTGCATAACCAATTTTGTACTCTCCGTTTTTCCAGCTCCGCTTTCACCCGATATAACAACCACTTGACTTTCTCCTGTTTTGTTTAATGCCGCATATGCCGACGATCCGATTGCAAACAAATGTCTAAAATATCATTATCATCATTATTATTAACAAAAATTATGTCCATTTATCTATTTTTTTTTTTTTTTTTTGCTAAAATGTAATTGAATCGTATTAAAATAAAAGGGATTCGCTCGTGTTACTCTAACACTTAAAACTAATGACAAACAACAACAACAACAACAAACGAATAAAATAATTTACAAAAATATTTTTCTTTCTTTTGCGTGTATGTAACATCTTAAAAAAAAAAACCCAAAAAGTGTTTGATTAAAAAAATTTTTTTGTGCAACAGCAACCACGTTTGTCGCAGGTCAAAGTTCAAATTTTATAACTATAAAATTAAATCGTTGGATTTCGGAAAGATGGATTTGATTGTCGTAATCGTGTGAATAAATTTTATTGCGTTTTTCATTTTACTATTGCATTTCCTTACTAATTTTTATTTAATAAATATCATTTTTAAATTTTCATCAGGACCGTAGCAAGGGTTTTTTCTATTTAAATTATCTATCATTATAATGCTAAGAATTTAAATTACATTGTAAAAAAAAAAATTTGATTTTTTTTCATCATTATTTCGTTTGTTTGTTTGTTTGTTTTTTTTAAATAAAAAATTTTAATTTGTTTATAATTATAGTAAAATTTATACTATATTTGTTTGTTTTTTTAAACGGTTGATAAATGAAAAAGTTTATAAATATTATTTTTTTAAAAAAAAATTAATCAAGAATGGAGAAAAAAAAATTTTGTTTTTATAGCGACGTGTGACCTCACGAAAAAAAAATATTACTATAAATTAACGAATAATAATTACGTAATAATTTTCTCTCTCTCTCTCTCTCTCTTATTTGTAAATTTTTTTTTTTTTTAATAACACTAATATTTATTACAAAATTATTAAAAATGACGACGACGACGAACGTAGGGAATCAACTTTTTTTTTTTTATTGGTTTATAGCAACGATTATAGCGTTAAAATCGTATAAAGAACTATAAAGACTATAAATATATAAAATGATTATCAATAATGCCAATTTCACAATTTTTTAATTTTACTCAACACGTTAATAATAATTTATATGACGTCACGAATAAAAACGACTATATATATATAAATTAAAGACTATAAATAATAAATTTTATAATTATTATTCGTGTTTGTTGTTGTTGTTGTTGTTTTATTAAAATTTAATTACAAACTTACGGTGGTAAAGTTCCTAATATTTGATTTTCATATTTTTTAACCATGTCCAATCCGTAAATGTCAAACATTTTGTATGGGTTAACGGCTACGAGAATGCTTCCGACATATGTCTATAATAAAATACATACTCCTCATCATCATTATCATCATCATTATTATTACATGTAAAAATAAATAAATTATTTAAATTTTAAACTTACGTAAATTAATTCTTTGTCGTATCGAATTTTCAAATTCCATAATAAAGAAGCTTCGTTTAAATCCCTATATGAAAAAAAAAAGAAATAATAATAATAATTAATGCATATAATTTTGTGCGTGTTAAATAAATTTCATAAGCGAAACATTAAAAAAATTTTATTTATGTATGTATGGTAAATATTTATTTATTTATTTTAGTTATGGATATGTAAATAAACACACGAGTACGAGTGACATAATTTATTACGTAATTTTTTTTTTTTTTTTAACCCGGAGTGAAGAAAGACGACTTAAAAAGAGAGAGAGACGGGAAGGGGGGTGGGGTTGGGGAAATAGTTCGAATAAACAATAATTAATTATTATTATTATTATTAATAAAAAAAATTTCACATTTTAATTTATTTATTCAGGTCTCTTAATTTTTTTAAAAAACTTTTCCTGAGAAAATGTTTTTAAAAAAAATTTTTAATTAATTAATTAATTAATAAAAAATTATTTAATAATTAATAATAATAATGATAACAACTTGTTTTCGAAAAATTATGAATAATAAATTAATGTAAATGCATAAACGTAGTTTTTATTTTTTTTTGGAAGCCATATTGAATTTGAAAATTAAAAAAAAGGAAAATAACAACAGGAATAATAAAAACGGTAGCAAAAAAAGTAAAAAAATTTGCTTTTTATTATTTATTTTCGCGACGACGATGATGATGATAATAATAATAAATAAATAAATAAATAAGTAAATAAAAAATGTTAAGAGAAAGTAACGTCGTAAAAATAACAATAATAATAATAATAAGATGCTGTACATTTTATATACATATAGGGAAAGTTGTTTTATTATTATTATTAAAAATATACAAGAAGTTATTTAAATTGTCTTTAAACCGAAAAAAAAAAATTTTCTTAATTTTCCATTATTATTATTATTGTTTGACGTGTCTATGTGTTTTGTTTTAAACGTTTTTATTTAAATATTTTGTCGTCTGCTAATTTTTTTTTATTCGTAGAAACGTCGAGAAAATAAAATACCTTAAATTGTTTTTTTTTTCCCTCGTTTTGATTTGACCGATCATTATCATTATTATTATTATTATTATTATTATTATTATTAAATATAATTGGATGAAAGTTTTCCTATTTTTTTTCCTCTCTCTCTCTCTCTCTTTCTATCTCTTCTTACGATAATTATTTTACGAAGAAGAATTTAACAAAAAAAAAAAATTTTTTTTCGTTATTGTAATTTTTTTTTGTATTATCGTGACCTTATCATAGTTGTAGTGACATTTACAACCGCCATTTTTTTTTATTTTTAATTTTATTCATAGTTTTGTGTTTGTAATTATTATTATTATTATCTTGCACTACTAAATTTTCTTTTTTAAATGTCACAAAATAAAAGGAAACGCGGAGTAAAGTGAAGCTGGGGTAACAAGTGCGTGCTTAACAATTCATGAGAATTTTATTTTAAAAAAAAAAATATAAAAACGTGGGGAGGGGGGGGGAAATTTTTTTTTATAGCGCTATATTCTTTACTATAAAACACCTACACTGCATGTAATCTCGTTTGTTATCACTTGACAAGAAAAAAAAAAAACTTACGAAAGTTGAATCATATCTTGGATGCCGTTTCAAATTTTTTTTCTCTCTCTCTCTCATTTCGTTCTCTCTCTCTTTTCGTCTGGATTACCTTGAGATTTACAAATTCGAAGATAAAAACAGACGAAAAAAATTTTTTTTTTTGGAAAAATCAATACGAAATGTCAATTTTACATACGAAAAAAAAAAAAATTAATTTTAGTTTTTTGTATTTGGTACACCTGAGAAACCAGTTTTTTTTTTATTATTTATTTTCACTTTAATAAATTTAACAACCTGTGTAATTTTTTTATTATGACGGAAATTTTTTTTTTTTTTTTTTTAATTAGTAATAAATAATTGAGATGGTTACAACAAACAACAACCAAACGGTTGCTGCCAATGAGTAGTAGCACTAATAATTACCACCACCCAACCGGTTACGAGTAATAATTTTTTTTTTTTTATTTATTTACTTTTTTTTAAATTGAATTTGTTTTTACCTTTTCCTTTCCTTTTACTATTATTACTTTCGTTTTATTATTATTATTATTATTATTATTATGGTTACTAACGTAAAAAAAAAAATTCACTTTATTATTAAAATTTCTAGTTTCGCAACTGCCACGCCGCCATCTTTCCACCTTTCATTACCAACCGAAACCAAAATTTTTAAAAATTTATAATAACAAACTACAACGACAAAAAAAAATTATTATTATTATTATTATTATTTGTTTGTTTTTTTAAAAATTGTTTGTTTAAATTTTTTTTTCCTCTTAATTTTCCCGACAGCAAAAGAAAATTTTCAAACAAACAAACAAAAAAAAAATCTTTAATGAAAAAAAAAATTACTTAAGAAAATGGAAAAATAATTTTCTTCTTTCAATTATTAGAAGAAAAAAACAAACAAACAAACAAACAAACAAACGAAAAAGTGATTTAACTGGAGAAAACAAAAACAAAAAAAAATAATAATGATTATCCAGTTTAAAGAAAAAAATTTTCCAAAAATGAAAAAAAAAAAAGGATTAATTCTACTTTAATTTGTTATTAATATTTTTTTTTTAATGCTTTAAAAATCAATTTTTAAACAAAAAAAATATATAAATTTTCGTTTCGTTTCCTTAATTCAAATTGTTTTCAATGTCTCTGATGATAATAATAATAATAATAATAATGATGATGATAATAATAATAATAATAATAAATTTTTTTTTCCGGACGGCCTTCGTATTCAAACAATCAAACCCAAAACAAAACGAAAAATAAATCCTTAAAATAAATAAATTAAAGAACGTGAGATACGAACCGAAAGGTTTTTAAAAAAAAGGAAAGGAAAAATTCTAAAAATTTCTATAAATGATAACGATGATGATAATGATAATGATAATAATAATGATAAAATCGACTCCAGGTTTATTCCACCGTGACAAATACAAAAGACAAAAAAAAAAAAAAATATTTTTCATTATTTTCTTTTCATTTCATTTTATTCGACTTAACGGATTTTTTTTTTTAAACAAAAAAATCACTCAGTCATTCATTCATTCATTCATTCATTCATTCAATTATTTTTTAATATTCTATGATGATGATAATAATATAAATTATTATTTTAAATTTAAAAAAAAAAAAAATTTAAGATGATTTTATAAAGAAAAGAGAAAAAAAAAAGGAAATGCCATGAACTCTCACATTAAATCAACCGACACCATTATTTTCAATGGAATTTTACGCGTGCGTACCTGCTTGCGTACCTGCGTACGTGCGTGATTTTCACGCTTATTACGCGTTTATTCATTTATTTATTTTAAGGTGCTAAATTAATAAATAATTAAATCGAATTCGATTTTTGTTTTTTTTACAAGAATATTGAGTTAATTAATCGCGGCCTTATATTCGTCCAAGGTTTTAGGATCCCTTTATTATTATTATTATTATTATTATTATTATCATCATCATCATCATCATTATTATTTTTCAATAGAATTCTATTCTATCAATTTAATTCGTTCGTGAAAATACTTTCCAGATACGAACCGTGAGAAAAAAATAAAATAAAATAAATTAGAGAGGGAGAGAAAAAAAAAATATTAAAAATAATTTCGATATTCTCTAGCGAATCGATATATCGTTCGATTTTATATCGATAAATAATGAAAATCTTACGTATTTTGCGACGAATCGTCTGCATATGTCAGCCATGCAATGAAAGGAAAATGATCTTCCTTTTAATTTATTTTTTTTATTAACTTTTTCATTCCGTAAAAAATCTCCATTCCTTTGCCTTTTTTGATTGTTATCATTATTATCATTATTATTATTATCATCGTTATCGGGATTTTTTTTCTTATTTTTCACTTTTTTCCCTTGTAAATAATCCCGGTAAATATTTTTATTTAAATTATTATTATCATTTTTCATTAAATCGTCACTTTGAATGGTCGCACTCATTTTTCTTTTTTTTTTTAAACGACACAAAAACAAACGCGAACGGGGGGGAGGAAATGAACGCACGTTTACACACACACGCACACTCACGCACGCACACGCGGTTACATATCACGCGGCGAAATTATCACAATCATCTTATTCACACAAATTAAAAAAAAAAAATATTCAAATATCGAATCCCAAAGGAAATCACTAGCAAATCTACGCGAGAACATTTGCTATCAGTTATCGATACGTAAAAAAAAAAAAAAAAAAAAAAAAAAAACACCTTCCGGACAAACAACTCAACTATCAAGTTTTTTTTTCATATTACTCTCTCCTTTTTTCCAATTTCCCTCTCCTTCTCCCTTTCCCCTCTCTCTCTTTCTCTCTCTTTTTTTATTCGTCGTTAAAACGTGCGATGAATCTTTGGTTGTTGGATTAGTTACTTATTTCAAAAGATGAATAATAATAATAATAATAAATATTGATTACGGTCATTTTCTAAATAGAGAGAAAGAAAGAAAGAAAGAGACAGAGAGAGAAAGAGAGAGGGGGGAGAGAGAGAGATAGAATAGCAAAACGTCATTTTGAATCTTTTTCAATTTTTTCCTTTCATTTTATAATTTCATTTAAGGTATTTAAAAAAAAAAATAATTTCACGAAATGAAAACCTTTCGAAAAAAATACTTTTTTTAAATAAAATTAATTATTCTACCGCCACGCTTCGTCGTGGAAAAAAAAAAATTTTTTTTTTTTTTATTTGACAAATTATTAAACGATTGTTAACAAAAAAATTGTTTTTTGTTTTGACTAATTAAAACAAAAATAATAATAATTAATTATTATTATTATTATTTCATTTTCTCTCGTTACTTAAACGACGACGATGATAATGATGATGATAAATAAAAATTTTTCACTGGATTTTTTTTTTTTATTTTGCGATAAAAAGGGAAAAAAAAATTTCCTGTAGCAAAAAAGTCATTATTCATAATATAAAATGCCAGTCACGACAGAAAAAGGAAAATTTTTACACTCGTAAAGAGAGAGAGATAGAGATAGAGAAAAAAAAGTGAATCTGCCATTTTTTTTTTACTTTTCTTTGAGTCTTTTATTATTATTATTATTATTATTTTATTTAATCAATTATTAAAAGAGACGGAGAAGAAAAAAAAAACGAAACGTTGATATGATGATGATAAGGCAAGAGACGT